GAGAGAGAGAGAGAGAGAGAGAGAGAGAGGGCCCATGTTCTTTATTAATAAAAGTTAAATTATATAGAAAATATATAAAAAATATATCAGAACATTTTAGTCTTTTAGTTTTCTGAGGGATCAAAACTACAAACAAACTAGCTAAAAAGGACTACGAAGTCAAAAAAGTCGAGTTTTGGACTAAAACCGGAAAAAATGCATACCATATGAACCATTTTTGCAATTTTGTATAAAAAATAAATATAATTTACTTAATTTCTAAAAAAAAAAAAAAAAACTTTTAAAAGATTAACCATTCCAGATTTCGAGAGAATATATACCAATAGTTTTTTTTTTTTTTTTTTAGTAATCGGAAATATGATGTTATAAAAGTAAGGGTTTTTTATACATAATTTATCGAACATTATATTTTAATTTAATTAAAACTACATTTCATTAAGATTTTCAACTACTAATCTTTATTTATCCGTTGGTTTAATATTTTTATGTGTAAAAAATTTATACAACGTACTCGTCTTTCTTCATTTCTTGTAAAAAATAGAGTTAAAAATTTGAATCTACGCGTCTCTGCAACTTCTAACAAATTTCCTTGTAAAACCCTAGCACTGCAATCTTCGACGATCTACGCAGCAGGTACGCGTTCATTCTCATCTACACTTGTTTCCCCCCAATTACTTGTTTGTAGTGGGGCTAATTACGGCTCTGGATTCGGATTTTTAAACCCTACAATACATTATTTGTATATGATAAAACGGTTTTCACGAAATTTTTGTCCTTCTTGAGCGAAGAAATTACTATACATCACATATGAATTATTGGAACTTTCATTGTTGCTACCTAATTTGATATAATGTTACTTTTGGAAAAGAGAATGAGTAAATACTCGTTTCTAGATGGGAGTATAACTGTTCAACTGTTAGGGAAGGTTCCTTTCGGTGTTTGAAAATGGTCCGATGATAGTATAATGTTAACAATTTAACTCACCTTATATTAACTTTCAGCGTTAAAATGGCATAAAATCTATGGATATTTATTTTTGGAATGAAAGGATGTATATAAACTGAAAGTTATGATAATTCAGTTTTGGTAATTTACTAAAAAAGTGTAGGAATTTCAGAAATCTTGTTGTCAGGCGACGTGTCAAAGACATAGATTTTGTTTTAAAAGACAAACAAGAAAATGATATGGTGTTGGATCCTACACTTTTATATTTAATTATATGACAGACCCACACCTACATTTGAGGTACACATATAGAGGTAATTTACTTGGAAGTTTCAGACAATCTTCCTATCATTTTCACCATATAAAAGCATGATCCTTATTCGACAGTTTACAGTTAACATTGCTTTGATTCCTAAACTAGTTTTTATCTGTTTGTGTCTGATGGTGCCAAAACGACCCTTTAGTGGGGAGGAAGAAGGGAATAGTTCTGGATTTTCTAATCAGGAATCAAAGGGAGTTGGGTCTTCAAAGTGAGTGATTCAGATTTTGTAGAATTTCCAATAACTTCACAAGCTTTGATTATCTTCAAATCTTCTTGATGTGTTTGTTTGTTTCTTTTGCAGTTATGCTAGAAACGTGTTGCAGAGAGTTTCTCGTGAAGAGTTAGAGGCAACATTGGAACCATTAATTCGAGGAGTGGTACTACCTTAACCATGTCTTCTTTCTAAAAATATGAATTCATAAGATCCTTTAATTTAATAAACATTTACATTCTTTCTGATAGGTGCAAGATGGAGTGCAGAGTGCATTTCAAAAGATCTTTGGCACATCACCAAGGTTGTATCTCTATCTCTATCTCTATCTCATTTTCATGGGGCCTACACTTTTCATCTCCACTATATATTTCTATTATATGATTTTAATGCATGCTTGCATTTCATTTTTCTTATATAGATCTACTTCTGATGCACTTGATACGTGTAGTACAACTACATCCTTGCAGCTTCGTTTCCTGAATAGGCTGCTTCCTACATTTTTCACTGGAAATAGGATAGAATCTGAGGACAAGAGCAGTATAAAAGTAGGGTTATTTGATACTAATTCCAATAAGATTGTGTCATCTGGACCCTTGTCTTCACAGAAGATAGTGATTGTTCCTCTTGATGGTGATTTCCTTTTTGATGAGAATGAAGATTGGCCTGAGAGTGATTTTGATGCCAAAGTTGTATCTGCAAGAGATGGCAAAAGGCCATTGCTGACAGGGGATCTGGTGTTGACTCTGAAAGATGGAGTTGCTGATTTAGGTAATGTAGTTTTTACTGATAATTCAAGCTGGAGGAGGAGCAGGAAGTTTAGGTTAGGGACAAAAGTCCAAAATGCCACTCCTGGAGTCAGAGTTAGAGAAGCAAGAAGCCATGCGTTCATTGTAAAAGACCAGCGAGGAGAGTGTAAGTCCCCATTCTATGTTTATATATCTCTTCTATTTGATAGTTGCTTATTGAGTTAGATCTGATTGAGTCAAGGCCTGACTGAGTCAGACCCAGTAAGAGACATATCAAACAGTCTGCTATTATATTTGTGATGATACGAGCTTCTTGATTCAAAGGGAACAGTAATATTTATTGATGCAGTATACAAAAAACACCATCCTCCATCATTAAGTGATGACATATGGAGGTTGGAAAAGATAGCAAAAGATGGGGTTTTGCATGGCCAGTTGGCATTACTCAAAATATATACAGTGAAAGACTTCCTACAAGTGTATAATACCAATGAGTCCTCACTATATGGGGTAAGATACATATTTTTTTCTTAAAAAAAAAAAAACTCTACATACCTGTTAAGGATAAAGGTGAGTATTTTTTTTTTTAAAAAAAAATTTGATAATAAAGGTACTTGGTGGGCCGAATAACAACAATTGGAAGACGATTATCAAGCACGCAAAGGCGTGTGTTTTAGATGAGAAGGTGTACATGTACAGATGTGTTGCAGATGGGATTGGGATTTTGTTCAATTCTGTTATGGAGGTTGTGGGTGCTACCTTTGATGGAGAATATCAGCTCTCCATGAATGAGCTTACTGATTTCCAGAAGGTTTTGTATAATTATAATTTCATACCTCAAGTCTTTCTAATCATTTACTTTTGTAGCATTGAACTGATGTTATGTTGTTTGCAGTCTATGGTGGAAGCATTGAAGCAACAAGTTTATAAAGATTTAGAGGGGATGTTACCAATGGATGATTTATCAGTGATTGAAACTAATCTTCATGTTGACCCTGTTACAACTTCTGGTTTAGGTATAAGCTTACTGGTATTTTTTGGTATAGTATTATTAGTATCTGTTGTTGCTTTATAGAGAAGCTTATTTTGTACAGATCAACTGCAAAGAATGGCAGAGTTGGATCCGTTTTCTAATTTTTCAGAATAAAGAATGGTAGAGTTGAGGTGAAGAAGCTTCTCCTACATGCATCGTTTTGATCTTGATGTTTAAAGTGTATCATATAATAAACATTTTGGATTTTTTATTTTGAATTTCCATGGATAATAATGTTTAAAGTGTATCATATGAGAAACATTTTGGCTCACACGAACCCTTATAAGTCTGTTAAGAAGAAAAAAAATGGATTGCCTAAACTTTAATGTTCCTACAACACAAGAGTTCGGTGATAGTATATAAATCAGTTTTACAAAGTCACAAATCAATTTTATGTATAAACTCATTAATTTTTAGAGAAAATTACTAATCTAACCAAATTCGTTAATAACTTCTCACTTTTTAGCCAAAATTTAGGACTTAGCTCAAAATAGTCATCGAAACCGTAGGTGGTTAAAATGACCTACTGTTTCGCCTATTTGCCTACGGTTTTGACTTTAGTATATAAGGAATTTTTTTTTCATTTTTCATTATGAAACCATAGATGAAAAAATGGTCTACTGTTTCCTTTGAGAAAGTCTACTGTTTCCCAAATAGTAAATTAAAAATTGTCTACTGTTTCGTCCAAAAACCTACGTTTTTTTTTTTTTTTTTTTTTTTTTTTTTTTTTTTTTTTTTTTTTTATATTTGGCTACTATTTGCAAGAAGTTAACTACTACTTCATGCATTTTGACTATCATCTTCCATCATTAATCAACAATATGAAATACTCACTTGAACTCATACTATGATTTTCGAGAGAAAAACAAGATGAAAAAAACACTAACTTGAGTTTTTTCTTTTAATATATAGTAGGTATAATATACTAGTCAAAATGCATTAATTAGTAGTCAAATACCAAAAAAAAAAAAAAAAAAACCGAAACCGTAGGTTTTTAGACGAAACAGTAAACCATTTTTAATCTACTCTTTGGGAAACAGTAGACTTCTCAGAGAAAACAGTAGACTATTTTTTCGTCTAGGGTTTCGTAATGAAAAATGAAAAAAAAAAATTTATAGACTAAAGCCGAAACTGTACATAAAGGTAGGAAACAGTAGACCATTTTAACCACCTATGATTTCGATGGTTATTTTGAGTTAAATCCTAAATTTTGGCTAAAAAGTTAGAATTCATTAAGAAATTTGGTTAGATTAGTAATTTTCTCTATTTTAAAAGTTATTATTAAGTGACTTCTCCTAGCTCAAAATTCCAATAATTAAGTTCAATATTTGAAGTGTGTTAAGGTTGGACAAATGTGTAGATTTAGAAGTAGATTTACCATTCTGAAAAACCACTGCAAAAAACAGTGATCGAGTTGATTTACAAAGTTAGTTTAAAAAACAAAAGAAAAATATACAAACTACGCATCATGTGCATCATGTGGAAGAAAACATTTTTTTAATATATTTTATTTTATTGATAGTTTGTTTAGTTAAAAAGTAAAGTGTGTTGAAGAATATTTTGGATTGATAATTAAGGATAGTTTATTTAATATATATTTTTTTCAAAAAAATATTTGTTATTTAATAAAAAGGTCTTCTATATAAAAAACAAAAGAGAAAATTACAAATATAGCTATTTTTCCTAATACTTTTTGCAGAAAATAGCAAAAAAAAAAAACCTAAAATTACAAAAATAGCCACTAAAATCACAGATGGATTAGGGCCATCTGTGATTTTGCCTCTCATCTGTGAATGTACAAGTATTTAAAGGATGGACGTGCATTGAAAATTGTACATTCGCGGATGATTTTTTTTGAGTTTTTTTATTTTTATTTTTCAGTAATAAATACCCCCGCACACCACCCACGTTCCTAGATGAACTTCATATGTGATTTACTCTGGTCTTCATCTGCGATTTTGCAGTAAAATATTATTATTATTACTATTATTATTATTATTATTATTATTATTATTATTATTATTTTGACTACGAAAATGATAGGTTTGGTTACGAAACAACCATATTATATATAAAGTCTTGCAAAGAATTATCAGTTTAACAATTATTTCTTTGAAAAATTTGTTCAAAACCTTTGTAATAAAACGAGTGAATATTTTGTTTGTGCTGTAACTGACGGGAGGTGGGAATTTGTAGAGACAAATTTGGAATATGTATGTCCACATGGAGGAATTTCTGAATTCACTTTGATATTTTCCGAGTATATTAGTTATAGTGATTTTATATATTTGGTGAAAATAAAAACCGGATTGTTAGATAGATATAAAAGTAGTCTTCGTTTCCATCATCCTGAATTGAATCATTATATAGCCATAGTTGAAAACAATGATGTTAGAATGTTGATCAACGTAATCAAATCGGTTGGAGGAAGGGTTGTGAAAGTGTTTGTGGTGGCTGATGAAGGTGATGCGGTTACGGAGGGTGGCGTGAGAGGAAATAAACCGGTTGCTAACTTATCCAACGATAAAGGGAGCAACAACCAAATAGGTACTTCATGACTCCTAGTGTACCTGAGTTTCATAGTGTTGTTGAAAATGTAAATGTGATGTATTCACCTATTCATTATATGGATCCTGAAAATTACAAATACGTTGGTGATGATGATGTTGGTACATATCTTAATGATGTGGGTGACTATTATGTTAATGTTCCCCAACAAGAAGTTAAGGTTTTCAATAGGGGTGGAGTAGATGATAGTAAAAAGGAAAAAGTTATGATTCAGAAAGATGAAAATCTACATGGTTACGGGGATTTTGCTGATGTTGTTGTAACATCCCGAAGTTGAGGTATTTTCAAATTTAACCCTCAAGTATTAAGACTTATAGTATTCATCCTTGTGTATGAGAAAGTTAGCAAAATCGCCCATAGTGGCATTTTTGTAAATTCCATGCTGAGGTTAGTACGCTGGGCGTACGTTGTGTACGCCCAGCGTACGTTGTGTACGCTGAGCGTACATGTGTGGGTCTAAGTACGTTGGGCGTACACTAAGTACACAGGGCGTACGTGAGAGATCCTCAAACCATAAATTTTAGGGTTTGGACCCTATTTAAGCATCATTATGGCCTCCAACCTCATCTCTCATCACCCTCCAATACCTCCAATTGATTTTAGCGAACCCTAGCCACTTGTTTGAGCATTCTTGACCTTTGTGTGTGTGTTTGGTGATCTTGAAGGAGTAAGAAGGAAGTAGAACCATCTTGGAAGCTTGAAGGATCATTGGATCTGGGATCTTCACCTCTCTAGCAACCTCCAAGAGGCATAAAGTTGCAAACTTGACTTGTATTACATTAGATCTTGCTAAGTCCTTGATTCATGAGCATTTTGTGCCAAGTCTTGACTTTTTTGGAGTATGGCATGCTCTAGTCCATTTTAGTTGTCCTTTCAGATGTATTGAGGGGTTTAGAAGAATAAAAATAGGGTCTTGGTTCATAATCCTTTTCCATGCATGTGTTTGATTGTCTTGATGGGTTAAGAGGATGGAGTTTTTAGCATTTAGCACTTATTGGCCATGCAAGACCATAAAGTTGGAAACTTTATGGTCAAGGATGATATTTGGGACTTGGATCTACAACTTAGTCATGATAGCTTAAGCAATAAGCTTTTAATCCATTAAGTGGAGAATCAGTGCACACATTGGGCGTATCAATTGGTACGCTGTGCGTATGCAGTTTGAGTCCCGACTCCTCGCACAGTGAGTACGCCCCGCGTACATCCGAAGTACGCCCCACATACGAGGGCTGAATTGACTCGGCTGATTTCGTTGATTTTGACCGATTTTGACCAAGGGTATTTTGGTAAATTGATATTAATTAAATTGGGAAATGTTTTAATTTTTAGGAGTCGGGTAGAGCCGGTTGTCGGAGTAGAGATTCATTCAAATTGTTTTCGGACTGAGAGGTGAGTTTTCATTACTGTACTTATGGGTCGAAGGCACCAAGTCCGACCCATTCGATTAGATAATCCTATTTTGTTGTATGCTATTATGTTGAGAAATTCATGCACACTATATGCACTGCATGACTTCTAGAACGACTTTTCGACAATGGTATTATGTCTAATAGAATCTCGTATTTTCCGAGCTATATCTTTAGGACAATACCCATGATACGAATCTGGGTAGACTCTCCTAACGGCATAGTCTATTTTATCACATAGGTGGCTTATTAAACCGACCTCTGTACTGTGACCTAAACATTCTTTTAACCTCCTTATGAACCATGCCCAAGATTCCTCACACTCTAAGGTTCCCAAACCAAATGCTAAGAGTAGGGGTTCATGGTTTCCATCCAAAGCCACCGCAAAGTACATTGTTGTCAGATTGTTCCCAATTAAGCAGTACATAACCCACACATATTAATGGTATCATGCACCTAAGGAAGCTACAAATTTGCATATAAATAAAAGATACTTGTATTAGTCACATCAAAAATGTTAAGGAGGTACATTACCTACAACTGTTAATTAATTCAATAAGAACTCATTTTCACATGCAATGAACGTGGATTATAAAAATCAAAGGAACCCAATTATAAATATACAATAGTTGGTATTGAAATTGGATTAATTTATAGTCAAAGTTGATGATTTTATACTCAAACCATAAAAAAGGTTTACTGATTGAAAATAAAATGCATTGTACTTGTTTGCACTTCATAGTTCAACATGAAGAATTCATAGTCAAAGTTTATGATTTCATATGTTTTCAATACAGTCAGTCATGCTTATTTATTTGCTAGTTTATTTGAGTGACACTTATCATAAATTTCCCTTTAGATGCTTTATTTTGAGGTTGATTAATAATTAGATTTAACAATAGTAGTACATCTCCATTCACCATGTTTCCGACACCCTCATTTACCTAAGTATACGATTCATGATTAGGTATACTGCCTAGTGTTGATAGTCTTAGTTTGGTTTGTTCAGTTTTATAAATTTAAACGACTATATTTTACACATCAATGTGGCTTTAGTGTCGGCTTCCTACACCAAACTACGAGACTAGTGGGAAAAAAATCAATCAATATAGACTACACCATGTTGTACATGTAGTAGTTGTAGAAGCGACATTGGAAGACGTCCAAATGAATCCAAAGAAAAGGAAAGATTATATGAGTTCCTAATGGGACTTGGTATAGACATCTCCAAGATAAGAACACAAATACTAGTGATGAAACCAAAACCAACTTTGGGCACATTGTATCACCTTGACGTTAA